CAGCTATCTCATCGTAGCATATTTATATGCATATTTATAATCATACGGTTCTTGGAGTGAGCGCATACACTCATGAAGTTTAGTAACTTCCGGTCACTGCAACAAGCCCAGGTACAGTTTACCGACGGATGGGTGCAGGACCTTGAAATGCACCGTGTAGAAAGTAAAGACCATCGTACGTATCATAAGTTTACCAGTCTCACAAATCGTCGTCATAAATACACATTCGTTAACCGTTTATTAATAGGACCTTTGAGCTCAACGGTAGTTAATTAGCAGTGGAAATAATTTCTGGTAGCATCACAGAAATGTAGCAGTGACAATAATATTGTATGCTGTAATCGCACTGGACAATTAGTGATACAAAAAACCTGTTTTATCCTGTGAATAAAAGTATATGTTTTTGTCAGTGTACCATAATAACAGAAGCGAAACGCAATATTGTGTCAGGACAATTCACTATTTATGCACAATAAACAAAGGAGCATAGCGCGACAATTTCTGTTCAGCGCCAGACTTGCTTGTAACCTATATCACCAATTATGTTAAGAAAAATGACGCATTAACTACAACAGCAGACTGACCTTTGTGTAAATGCTTGGAGCAGACTAACCTGTGAGCTGGAGTGTTCTGGGACGTTATAATTGGTCTTTGAATGGCTGCAATCCAGTCGCGTCTTTGTTACTTCGGAAACATGGCTCGAACAATTTCTCTTCAACGACGTAATCCGATAACAACCGATCTCTTTACCCGTCGGCTTCCCGTGGCTGTCATGCGACCGGCTATTGCAGTTAATAATACAACAGCTTCTTGACATTTTTGTGTTTCTTTTTATCGCTGTGTGACTGGTTTCAATTGAAAGCCTGCGTGCGCTAGTACCGCTTGCCACGAGTTCCCAGAATCCTTTGCGGTTCTACCCGTGAATGACGTCACATTTTCAATCTCTATATAATATGCATGTTAAATTTTATATTTGGGGTGAAATATCACGTCTTTTCAAGTAAACCGGTTCAAGTCCAATTCAAGTCCCAAGTCATTGGTGTAAAAGTCCAAGTCAAGTCACAAGTCTTAGAACATTATTTCAAGTCAAGTCTAAAGTCATAAAATTAATGACTCGAGTCTGACTCGAGTCCAAGTCATGTGACTCGAGTCCACACCTCTGCTATATTGTATTTAGATAGAAGCTAGCGAGCTAACTCCCTGCTAACTTCTAACTCCGTTAAATGTCATAAATTCCGTTTTCATGGATGCCTGGATGTTAAACTCAATTGTTACACCTGGTAGAGCAGAACGCTGATCATTTTATTAAAGATGAAAGACTTTAGACAGTTTTCAACTCTCAGTAATGCCATAGTGATCGTTTGATATATGGACCTGCAGCGGAGTTTAGGCCCAGACACGGCTAGTGACGTCAGACTGAACGACTGGATTGTTGTTGGTGCTATATAATCAGTGTTGAGGAGTAACGGAATACATGTACCGCCGTTACGTATTCAGAATACAAAATATGAGTAACTGTATTCCGTTACAGTTACCGTTTAAAAAGGTGGTATTCAGAATACAGTTACTTTGTTGAAATAAATGGATTACACGGCGGTACTTTCCTGTTTCATTTTGTCGCGGGTCAGGACTGTTTGGGTTTTGTTTGACAGCTACGTTCTGTTGTTCCAGGCGGCAGCGTTACGGTTGCCATGGTTACAGGGCGACGCTCTCTCTCTCTTTCTGCGACTGTGTGTTTCCTGGGTGAGAGAGCGCCTTTTCGTTGTTGTTGTTGTTGTGCTAAGCTAACAGGCAGAATGCTACAAGCATAGCTCTAAAGAATGTAGCATCATGGGCAGTGTAGTCCGTGTTGCAGGGAGAATGGACTGCCACACACGTTATGTGTCTGTGAGCGCGAGGAGGGAGAAAAAGGCGAGTGGAAAGGTTGGAGTTGTCGTCGAGGAAAAACGGGAGCTGGAAACATGTAAATATAATAATAACCACTGCAGCCAAGAAGAGAGCCTGACGAGCCCAGTTGTAAGTAAGCTATTAAGACTCGACTGTACGCCGTGTTCGTGTTTTCCTCCGAAACAATAAGTTCCGTTGGAGCAGCCTTTCAACGCCTCTCTCTGTCTCTCGCAAGAAAAATTGACCCACACAACAAAGTAAAGCTATTTTTCGGCTACGAGCCGACAGGGACCCCGCCGTATTAGTCAGAGGTCCCTTTACTACAGTTCGGAGTCGCGGACCTTCAGTAATAGTAATAAATCACACAGCAATAGTACATTCATGTTGTTGTAAAAAGCACGATAATATATTAAGTAATCCAAAGTATTCAGAATACGTTACTGTCATTGAGTAACGTAACACGTTACAGAATACATTTTGGGGCATGTATTCTGTATTCTGTAACGGAATACATTTTAAAAGTAACCTTCCCAACACTGTATATAATAAAAACTGAATTTAAGCTAAACTCAAGGGAAGCAGGCTGATAGCAACTCTCAGGTTAGCCAGCAAAATAAAAAAACCCTGAGCTAGAAAAAGTGCTACAGTCTCACCAATAATAAACTTTTTGCAGTTTTTCAAAATAAAAGTGAAAATTTTCTGCGTGTCTTCATGCTGACTGATGACCCCTGATGTACGAACATATTTAACCAGTATTCAGTGAGTCTGTGCACAGACGTCTTCATCCACAGGTAGTCACGCACCTGTATGACTTTAAACTGTGTTAATACTTGTTCAGCAATCAGAGATGGAGACATTTAAAGGTTAGTGTGTGTGTACATCTTTGTTTCCCTGGATATCTGCCAGTCTGCTGGTGGTGACTCACAGGAGGACGGTAATTATTCAATGAGCACGTTTGTGAGGTCAAACAGCAGCTAAGAGGGATCTCATGCAAATGGTTGTAACCCGGTTGTCATTGGCCAGCACTTTATTTGTCAGTGTCTCTAATGCGCACGCACACAGACACACACTTAAATTATCAAAGACCTTTCTGAGAATACCTCTCTACAGTGCAGATCTACTCACTCTTTCGTGCACAGAGGAACAGAAAGAGGCCGTTACAGGGAGGCAATAAAGCAACGAATGAGATGAAGGCAAAAAGTGACTAAAGGGAAGCTCGGGGTCGTTAGTGGATTAAAGTGAGAAGCCGAGAGCAGCGATGAGTCATGCTTTAAAAAGAAGAGGATGGTGGTGGCTCAGCAGAGAGAGGAGCTTCTGTCCACATGTCAAACAGAGGGCTGCTTTAATCCGAGGCATTAAAGGAGATGCTCCTGATGGTTCATCAGTGCTTCAAGTAATAACCCAAACTTTAAATTACATAGAAATGCATCCCATATCAATTCTGCCCATTTTCAGTGAGCTGATACAAGTGATGCTTTTAAAGAATAATTGTTCCCAGTTGAGTCTGCAGCAACAACAGAGCTTATTTTTCAGACAGCATTTCTCCATTTCATAGATTGACCAGAATCGCGTCTTATGGCTTTAGCTGGTTTTGAAGATGCGCTCTGGAACGGGAGGAACACGACAGGAAACGCTCCTTCGCGTGCCGCCGTCGTTCCCGTCAAAACGAGTTCGCTGAAGTCAGGACTTCAGAAGAAACTTCCTGTCATAACAAGTCATTAACCTGAAATGACACATATACATAATCTGTAATATATGAGCAAACAATTCACTGCAGATGATAAAGTTAATCAATTATACATCTTCTGCTGTGATCAATTTCAGGCCAATCAGCTGTGCCGAGGGTTAATTGGCTCATTCTTTACCAGTTTCCACAGTGGGCATCATATTGGTGTTATGTTTTTAATTGGATGACACCAACAGCCTGCACGCTGACATTAGTCTTCATTATCTCCTTTGCATAACTTTTATATCCTCCAAATACGCCTGACCTCGTCTGCTCCTCATTTTTAGAGCTGAAAGAGAAAATATCAGCAGGAAGAACAAGTCTTTAAAATGCTTTGTCTAAAAATATTCAGAGCCAGGCTTTGGTTTGATCTTTTTTATCTGTTCCTTAAAAGGAAGCAGGTGATCTGGGATTGTCACAGGTCCGGGGAGCTTCTGTTTAATGGCTCAGAGGAACTTTATAGATACTTTACACGAGAGTTGAAGAAAGAAGTGATGGCAAAGTTTTCACAGTTGTGAAATGTGAGTCCTCTTTACTTACTGAGGGTAGCGCTCGTTGTTCATCTGTTCAGAGCTGCACTTTTACCTCCTCTGGAACAAACTTTTTATAGCCGGAAACCCCCCCGTCTGTTCCAGCCCTGACCTCTCAGTCCTCGTCTTATAATTAGGATAAACAAGTCTTGTAATTACAAAATCTTTCAGTTACCTCCCAACTTTTTTTGCCTTCTTAACTGCAAAAATGCATCAGACAGAACAGTTTCATTTCTTATAAATTTAGCTCCAGATGCATAGCTGGCACCGTGCAGACATGCTGCCACCTGACAAGCCTGCCGTCTTAAAAAAAAATAATGACACACATTTACTGACACAGAGGTGAGCTCAGTAACTACCTGTCTGTGGTTGCTGTGACACCTACTGTGTGACAAACCCCCGCTGAGACCAGGATAGCTCACACCGGGACCCTCGCCCAGCTCACGGCAAGCAGATGAGTCAGAGTTCACCGCCTGGTGCTGTCCCATATTATTAGACACCAGCAGATAACAAGATGGAAGGATGGAAAATAAACTGAAGGCAGAGAACGAAGGCTGGAGGTTCATGTGGGGAAGTTAGAAGGTCTACGAGCCGTGAGTTTTTTAACCCGTCACACCAGATGTAAAGGCAGACTGAGGGTCTGACAGCAAGTGCAGGGAAACAAAAAACAGACCTCAAACTGGTAAGTAAGCTGAGCTTCCAGTTACATGCTGTCAACAAGTGAGAAAATCATCACATTAAGGCTCACAGACAACCAAGTGCTTTGAAAGTCTTTGCATTTGCCACCGTCAGAGTTCACTGAAGCCACGGTCCACCTGTAAAAGCCTCTAATCCTCTCCGTGTCTCCCTCCTCACAGCTGATTGGCTCAATCATCGGCCGCCAGGGCACCAAGATAAACGAGATCCGGCAGGTATCGGGGGCTCAGATCAAGATCGGCAGTCAGATCGACAGCACCAGCGACCGCCACGTCACCATCAGCGGCACGCCGATCGCCATCAACCTGGCTCAGTATTTAATCACTTCATGGTAAGCATCCGGAGGAAGAGGCGGGTATGAGAAGCAACGAGTGCTGCAGGAGAGCACGAGGCTGTAGACAAACGCCTCACATTAGACCGCTCCTTCTTCCCCAAATCAGCACTTTGATTCGCTGCTTTATTAACAGCAGCTGTAGGTACAAGAGTCAGGCTGTTGTCACGCCACAGAGAGAGGTGTGTCATTATATACCTTAATGTTTGGTGGGTAAATGGCAAAAGGCGAGCAGCACTCTCACAGGAAGTGCAGCAGTCGAGCAAATGTAAATGAGTTTGATCCTCTCGCCAGTTAGAGCAGCGTCGCAGTGTTCTCTCCTCCTCTGCCGTGCATGCACCGTCAGGTACATCTGCAGGATGCATCACATGACAATTACTGCCTGATAAGAAAGAAATCGAGCTCTATATCGAACGCAGCGGACACGTCGGTCTCGCCTTCTCCTCGCCATTTAATCAGAAATATAAGCGACATGTGGTACGCACCGCCAGCTCGCTTTAATACAAGTAACCACCAGCATGAATATGCAAATTGGTCATTGGACTCTGGATGAAATTGATATTTGACTTACCACTCAGCCTGCCACCGACAGCGGGGAGAATAGGCAAGTGACACACACATAAATACTGACAGCTCACACACACGCACACGCACGGGTCAGCCTCGGTCAGTCTGAAATGTCAGGTCAGAGAAGGTGAGAGCAGCCGCTGGAGAATCCCTGACAAATTTGCTCTTTTCTATTATTTCTTTAATCGGTTACACACGGACACGGCGATCTGCCCGAGCTCATCCAATCTCCGTCCTCCTTCAGCGGGTCGCTCACAGGTTGACGGGAAAAAGATGGAACTCAGACTCCGGCTTCTCTGTGGAGCTTTTCTTCCAACACAACCCGCACCTTTATAAGCCGTCGTCTCCCACCTGAGCAGTTCCTGCGCTTCTTTTTTGGAGTTTTCTTCTGTAGAAGAATTCTGAAGCTTTATGGTAAACCTGAGTTTCTCCAGTCTGTGGGAGAAACGCATCTTTGTGCTTTCACGGGACAGGGAGGGGGGGATGTGGAGCTCCTTGAACAGTTAACCAGGTCAGGATCACGTTCACCTCCTGCGTTTATTTAAATTGCTGCATCACATGGAAAAGCTGTAGATTGCACTGCGCGACGCGGTCACGGCGCTCCACCCTACGTCTTTGTTTTGTGCTGAACGGAGGATGATCGCTCTGATGTGAACGGGACTCGATCGCTCACGCCTTGGAGCGCGCTCCCTATGGACCTCTTATGCAATCAGAAAACCCGCCGAACATGAACCCAACGAGACACAACAAGTGTTTCCGTCCCTATGTTCAGTCAGCTGATGCTTTCAAGATGGCTGCCAGCAAATAATGAAGCCTTATTCAAATATTAACAAACGCAGAGATACAAACTTTGATGCTTACATTACAGTATATCTGAATATTGTCTTTATGAGCAGTAAAACCTTGGCAGGAGGGAGAACAAAATATTTCATATCCTCCAAGGTTCCTTAGATATGAAATGGATTCTTTAAAAAAACCAAAGTAGTTAAACTGACAGATATTGTGGAACGTCCCATAAACTAAAAGACAGTACACATGAACTCAAAAGGAGTCCAAACCGCAAAAGAAGCGCGTATTCTCGGAAAAGTGGTTGCAGGAGGTGAGCTGGCTTCAAACAAATGATGAACGCACAGAGATGTGGTGCAGAATGTGCCGTGAAAATCCCACTCTAGCGGACAAAAACAGTGCCTTTTATATGTACTCAAACATGCTTCTTATCTGGTGCGTGTCTTTTATTTTGACACCTGTGGATCACTTATGTGCACCCCTGTCTATACAGATAGCCGGCTGCATCCCAGAAACATCAGCCTGTCAGACTGTGTGAATCCAGCAATATAGACATATATGTCTATATATACTGTATTTTCCGCACTATAAGGCGCACTTAAAATCCTTTAATTTTCTCAAAAATCGACAGTGTGCCTTATAATCCGGTGTGCCTTATGTATGAACTCTGGTTGTACTTACTGACCTTGAAACCGATTTTATGTGCTACACGGCGCTCAGAAATCTGTCAAAAATGTTTTAGTACGACTTTGGTAAGCTACGAAGCCGCACCGCTTGATGGATTGTTGGAGCGTTACAGAGTTAAAAACTGTCTAAATTCTTTCATCTTTAATAAAATGATCAGCGTTGCTGCTTTACCAGGTGTAACAATGAAGTTTAACATCCAGGCATCCATGAAAACAGGATTTATTACATTTAACAGAGTTAGAAGTTAGCAGGAAGTTAGCTCACTAGTTTCCACCTAAACATGATATAGCATGTTCTGACTGAGAGATTTCTGAAAAATTAAAAGGTACAGCTCTGCTATCACTTCCAACATAAATGAAGACAGAAAACTAAACAGCAGTGACGTTTGTAGGGTTACTGAAGTTGGGCTAGCTGCTATATAATGATGTGCTACGTGGTGGCTAGCTAACAGCTATGTTAGCATAAACACAGTAAAGCTGGAGGATGAACGCTAACTTTTTTCCACTCGATAAAAGTTAACGTGAAGGTTCCTGATGGTTGGGGACAAATGCAATCGCATGGCAGGATGCTGTAAATGGCCCAACCTTCAGTCAGGAGAACAACTGAGATAATCCATCCACAATACCAGGTTAGTCATTAATATACTGCAACAATATGGGAATAGAGCAGCCGTGAGAGAATTCAACATTAATGAATCAATGGTACAGAAGTGGAGGAAGCAAGAAGAATGAGCTGAGTAAAGTTTGACTTATCTGACTGTTTTGTTTCGCTTAATGTGCCTTATGGTCTGAAAAATACGGTATATAGATATGTGAGGGTATCAGGTACGATCAGAGCTCTGCAGTAAAAAGGTGTGACAGGGGTGCATCTGTCAAATGATCTACCCTCCGATTGTTTCACTTACACAGTAGTGAAGTCACATTGAAACAATGCTTCCTGCACAGCTTGATATTGAGTCTCTGTAACGGACACGGTCACTGCCTGAGTGTGATCAACTTTAAGCTTTTAGAAAGAAAGAAAGTGTACTTTATTGGTCCCCGTGGGGAAAATCCCTCTCTGCATTTAACCCATTCACTCAGTGAAGCAGTGGGCAGCCACTGGGCGCCCGGGGAGCAGTGTGTAGGGACGGTACCTTGCTCAGGGGTACCTCAGGGTAGTTGTTCAGGGGAATCGAACCCCCGACCTTCCGATCATGGGGCCACCACTCTACCTACTGAGCTATCCCTGCCCTTTTTATAACGCTGTCAGGTTCTAATCGGGACCACACCATGAGCAACAACCTTTACAGATTGAACTTGTAATTGTACAATATCTGTCGTTGTAACCACTTCTGCAGTGAAATATGTGTAAACATGAATCAGTTTCATATGTGGGCGACGTTAGAGAATATGAAATCACTGCTTTGTTCTGCCTCCTGTGAGGCCTAGCACTACTTTTTAGGTTTCCACTGCATGACTACACTTCAAGGAAATCCAGATACAAGCCTGTGTTTAAATAACAGAGACACAACAACACACAGAATGGAAAATCCATCCAAGTAAATACAAAGACAGAATGTGTCCGTGAGCACAGACAGATTGTTTACGCCATGAGACCCGGCTGTCTTTTTTGTGGCTGGTCTTGCCGAAGCGAACACAATGCCAAACACAGTCTGAACTCCTGCAGCTGAATCTGCAGTACAAGAGGAGCTAATGTAATGTAACGGGTGTCCGCCTATTAAAAACAGCTGGAGCGTCCTAAAGCGGCAGAGGAGGCCTCTGCGTGTTAAGCAGCTGAAAGTTGTCTCACATCAAGCAAGAACAGGAAACTACAGCCGCTGCTCTCCTGAGGACGCTCAGTGTTGTTAAACGAGGAAGTGATGATGCAACTCAGAGGCAAACATGTTCCTGTCAAACTTTTCTGAATCGAGTTCAAAATGAGCAGTTCTCAGTTTAACATCGACATGTTGCCTTAACTGTAGTGTTTAAATGGGGGGCATCACCTATTGATGGAGCTGTGCATTGAAGGAAGTCTTTCAGAGGATAAGGTCTCAGTGACCTGGGAGTTTTCCTCCCGGTGACATGAACCACTGCTGACTTTCAAACAGGGAGTGTAACATAAGCCTTCAAAAGCAAACTCTTCACAGCATTCTTCGTTTAATAGTACTCGATTCCACTTCATTACTTCGTTTAGTCGTTTAACTGAAAGTGTCACCCATACACCTTCAAGAAACTTTAGAGCAGGGGTCTCAAACTCCAGTCCTCGAGGGCCGGTGTCCTGCAACTTTTCCATGTGCCCCTGGTGCAGTACACCTGAGTACAATTAGCATGCTGAAGTGGTAACCCCTAACCCTTCTCAAGTAAATGTAAGTTCGTAAGTGTTTGAAAAATGTACTCCTAAAAGTACTTTTATTGCACCGTGTTCATTCACTCATGAGCTGCTGTAACATGAATCAAATGGCTGAATTGCCACCTCAGCATGCAGTCAAGTTCTATAGAGTCTTTCTAGTGACCTACTAATTGTATTCAGGTGTGTTGCAACAGGGACACATGGAAAAGTTGCAGGACACCGGCCCTCGAGGACTGGAGTTTGAGACCCCTGCTTTAGAGTGAGCAGACGTTTTGGCCTTTGTTGGTGTTCCTGTGCACTCGGGAATGTTTAACAGTACGTTTCTAATGCCGGGAACACTCCAGCTTCATGTTTGACCTGCTGTCTGATAGTTTCATGAACACATTTACATTGTGTGTGTGAATGGGTGGACGACTGGGTGTGTAAAGCGCTTTGGGGTTCCTAGGGGGGGGACTAGTAAAAGCGCTATACAAATACAGGCCATTTACCATTTACATTTAATAACCAGTGAAATAATTGTGTTAAAAGCAGAAAAGCTACAGTTTGAATCACATTTAGAGTCTCAGCTGTGCAAATACATGCGATAACATTCAAACACAAAGACAGGAACAGTTGCCGTGCAGCGTTGCCCCAAGGCAACTACAAGAAAAACTCGAGTATTCAACATGCGAGGAAATAAAAACCTTTAAAAATACTGACACACACACACACACACACACACACACACACACACACACTTATTTACAGTTCATGTCATTTTAAATAAGATTTTAAGTGAAAGTCCTGCCTTTGAATCATGCTTGTTAGTGATTCAAACAGCTGATTGGATTATGTTTTCAGCTGGTTGCACTGATTTAGGAAATATGAAGAGGATGCGGGGCTGCGTGCCCGCCCACCTCTCACTGTTTTATGGTGATTGATGCTAAAATGTGCAGAACATTTCTTTTAGTTAAAACATGAGGTGAGAAGCTCCCACAGAGATGAGCACAGACCCGCACAAAGGATTTCTTTCCTGTTTTTGAAGCAGCGTCCTGTCTGACGGAGCGTCCATGCTAATTTTTCTGATGGTTTTGTTCCCTCCTCCCTAAGCCCCCTCCCAAGCCATCACCCCAACTTATACAGCACACCCCCCATCTGTACAGCGAACTCCCCTACAATAATCTGTTGCAACCTCCAGCCAAACACGCCCGTCTTATGATTTGAGTTTTGTCAGATTTCCGTTTGTTCATTTTTACAGATCCTGGTTTTTTTTGTTTTTTTCCCGTTTTTACTCTGATTTTTTTTAACATGTCTTTTATTTAACCCTCTAACCCTTCTCCATCCAAAATTCCCTCTCCTTGACCCCCTCCCCTCCTCCACCCTCCTTCCCCCCCTTCCCTCCCCTCCACCTCCCCCTCCAGTTTAGAGACCGCCAAATCCACCGCCCAGTCCTCCTCCATGCCGTCTCCCGTTGATCTGACCATGAGCTTCACCCAGCCCTCCCCCCCTGTCTCCGCCTCGTCCTCCTCCTCCTCCCCCCTGGCAGCGATGGGCGCCGCACTGCCCCATGCTCAAATCCTGGGCGCTCCCTACGCCTTCCCCCTCTCCAGCCTCCTGGGAGTGAAATCCATCCCCTACCTGGCACTCTCCACCCCTCCCGCCTCAGCAGCGGCAGCAGCGGCGGCGGCCGCAGCGGCCATCGGGGCTCCAATGCTACCAGCGTCAGTGCAGACGGCAGCGGCGACGGCAGCCGTTCCGGTTCAAGCTCACGCGGCGGCGGCCCTGGCGTCCTACACAGCCAAGATCTCGTCCTCAACCAATGGAATGAAGAAGCCGGAGAGACAGAAGTTTGCGCCGTACTAAACAAAGAGGTAGCTCCTGGCCGGGTTTAGACGTTAAGGGCCGTTTTTGGTTTTTCTTTTAGCACATTACTCATTGACTTGTTTGCCTCTCCACTTCTTCCTCTTCTTCTTCTTCTTCTTTTTTCTGACTGCCTAAAAGAATCAAAGTGGGATCGTTGGAACATGAATGATGTTGAATCATCCATGGAAGGCGTGCACGGCAGCAAACAAGCTTTTCTCTTTGGCTGTGGGGTTAGTGACGTCAAAAGTTTAAAGCTTGCAGTTCAGCTAACCGTGTCTCTGCGCTGTGGTCATAACCAAACCCTAAACCAGGGGTACAGCAGGTTCGTGTCTTGGACAAGTTTTTGTTCCATCACGTCTTCACATTGCGAGCAGTTCAAAGTGTTTAGTCGGTGCCGGGTCTTTTATTTTGGACCCAGCTCTTTACCGGCTGTCCTGTGTCTGACTTCCTGCCCTCCTCATATGCTTTCTGCAGCTTGATGTGGCTTCTGTCAAGAAATAAAAAGACCTGGTGCTATTCTGAGTGATGTGGAGCAGAGACCTGCTTCTCGGACACTTGTGAACCACTCCACGGTGGATTTACTGGGATTGCAATCATTGTCCTGAGTGACCGCAAGTAGCTCTGGTTGCTACCCTGGTATTGGAACATTGTGCAACCAGGTTGGGTGTATTCCCAGGATAAACCGATTTGACAAAGTCTTGGAAATCAAGGGGAAAAATAACAATTTTAACACAAGTTTCCTCAAACAGTGTTTCTGGGTTAAAATCATTCTGCTGTTTGTGTGGATCAGCAGCTATAGACCAAATAAACAGACCAGTGTAAAGTTAGCTGCATAACTAAAAACCACGACTGAGGGTCTTATTTACTGTCATGAAAGGATCGGGAGGACGACGGTCTCTCAGCAGATTTCGCCCAGTTTCCCCAAAGCACTGACGACTTGCATGTCAGACAGCATGTTTGTGCAATTAGACCAAAACCCACTGCCAAACATGATGTATGTGTAAGTTTGCAACCAGTGTCATGCTACCAAGGTGACAATGCACCAACAAGATCACTTTTACAAATATAACTGAGCACTATTGCAAAGGCTAACTCAACTACACCTCGAGCTAATAGGAAAAATCCCCAAAACAGAGCTGCACGCTCTCTGTAAATTCAAAAGTTTCTTATTGAATCATAAACGCTGAATAATTAACTCAGAACCTGCTGAGGGACTCTGACAGACTGCAGCAGCTCCAGTCACGGCTTTCAGAAATCAAATAAAGGAGGATTTCTGATTTTCATGCAGATATCCGTCTCAACTCCACAGAGTGGGAAATAAATTAAAGAAAAACAAATACAGGATGACGAATAACACTCTTCACCTTGCTTCTTTAACCTTTTTATATACCCAACAGCTTTTTCTTTCTTTGAGTAGCACTTTTAAAAACAAAGTTTCAGAACCTTTGAACACCTCAAAGCGAGGCATGTAGGACCAGAATGAAAAACACCAAAAGCAAAATAGGACAATCCTGTACAGCAGCTCTCTAAGGCTGATGGCTCACCACGTACAAACGACTCAGGGTCAATGGCTCCTCAATACTTCACCTGTCACTCAAACACAGACACAGCTGGAAAAAGTTCAGGAAAAATTTTTTGCTATACAGTCAGACAAACCTATGGATGCTTTAATGTCTCTGTCCCAGCCCGGATCCCGGACAAGCCCCCAAACGTTAGTTTTCCCAGTGGATGGAGGACAGTTGTTATTTCAATAGAAAACCAAGCAAAGATGAAAGAACAGTGCAAACTTTAAATTCATCCACTGATTGTTTGTGGGCACCACTGCAGAAGCAGAACTTTTACTTCAGATACTTTGGATGTGATAATACTTTATGGATTTTGAAAGCGAGACTCTTACTTGGCTCGTCGTTATTCCACATCCAACCACATAAAAACAGCTTTAAGGATGTTCCAGTCTGCTCCTTGATGTGGAAGTGTTCTTCTTCTTGTTAAATAATTTGAGACATTAACAGAAATTCATCTATTTGTCTGATTTTTAAAATTAAAAGTCAGGATCAGCAGGTCTGAGTCATCATTTTCCAACAATCCCACTTCTAAAAGTCCACCCCGACTTTATTTTTCCTCGCGTCTTTTTGCAGCTCGGCCCTTTTCCGAGTTCAGAGGGTTGGTGGGTGTTTGCAGCCCCTGATATTTAAGGTCATTTGGGCCACAAAGCCTGTAAAAGCCATAGAGACTATTCTGCTTTCCCCTCCTAGTCTGTGTCCTGCTCTTTTTGTCCCCTGCTCTTCGTCCTATTGTATACTCGCATATTTATTAACTATTGTGGAATATTCCCTCAGAGTTTATAATCACTGGTCACTAACACTGAGCTGAAAACTCTGCTTTTGTATACGATGATGTCGACTTGTAAATGACTATTTTGCGTTTGCTTCCTGTCTGGTTTTCCTTCAGTATTTGTTGTGTAGTTTTTTTTTAAAGACATACAACAGATAAAAGGGTTCTTTTTTTGTTTTTTGCATATGTTCTCTTTCAAAATGTGTTGTTTAAATTATTTTTTAACTTATTGAGAGGAGTATTACAGTTTTAGAAGAGTTCATTTCCCAACATGGCTGCAGGTAAAGACTGTAAAACTGTATTTTAGTCTCTGTATGTTCTGTATGTAGAGTGAACAAAACTGATTATTTTCTTTTTGGGGGATAAAAAAATATCACTGTACCATTATTGCTAATAACCAGGTGTTTTGTTAGAAGAGTAGTGTTTTCACTTGTGAGCTCCAACTGGCCATTTTATGTCTCTCTCTCTCACACACACACACACACACACACACACACTTTCTAACTGGGATATCTGTTTATAAATGTCTGCCCTGCTTCTCACCTTTCAGCATCCACAGAACTAGAATAAAAGAACTGTTTTTTAAAATGGGAAATCTTTGAACGTGTACAGTGAGGAGCTTTGGAAAAGCCAGTTTCTGATAGCCACACGTTTGAAGTCATTACTGGGTGAGTACCACAGATCGATAACCCTGGCGGCTCTAAGCATATATCGGGGACACGCTCTGATAAGGAGGCCAAAATCCAGCTCGGCACCAGGAGTCGATCCATCCGTCAGAAAGTACCGAGTCAACATTTTGTCACATGCAGTTGAGTTTTAAGTGGACCTGTTGTGCACTTTTGCTCATCTCCTGTTCCTGTGGTGGATGCTCATATAAAACATGACCAGAGTCTCTAATGATGAGCTCAGTGTGAGTACAACTGTATCTAATCCCTGTGGGCCAAAAGCTCAGGCTCAGAGTGCTCTGAACACTCTTGGCTCTCTGTGATGTCATTTAGAGTCGATGTCCCTAATGTAGTCATTTCACAGTAACTGTCTGTGAACCAATTAGAAGAAAGATGGCTTGAAGGTAGACAACAGAGCAGCGTTTTTATTCTTGGACTCTGCCAGACTAGCTTTGCATGATTCAAAGTTCAAAATAATCCTGGTTTACTTCATACTTGGTGCATCACCCAGGGCTGGACTGGGACAAAAAATTATAGGAAAACCCATAAAGCCTTTGAATGATCTTCAACAATCTTTGGTTGTAAGATTTAGAGAATTATTTAATAAAAGTGAGACGTTTTTAAATGAGAATAAGAAAGAAAAGTATTTCTTTGTGCCCCCCTCTCCCTGTTAATGCCCTACCTGCCCCCCTGGCAAAACTTTGCTAGATCCGCCCCTGCACAGTTACCAGCTGTCAGCTACTTAGAAAAGGATCCTGGTGTTATTTGTCTCTCAGAAACAGTTCATAACTTCAACTCATCCATGTCACCTAAAGGTAAACCTGTTTCTCCATCACCTGTTCAGCTCTGATGGTTCAGTAAGGACATCTCCTGGTTTCATCTTCATGTTTCCCTCTCACCACAAATCCAAACCGACATCATGACCAGCAGCTTCACAGCTGTGGCTCCAGCAAACATCAGCTGATACTAGAAATTAATATTAAATAAATTCTAACAACAGCTGATCAAGCTTAAACGTGCTGCTGTTGTTTAACGCGACATCCGGCGGTTTCCTCTTTCTGGCACAAAGTGAGAGATAAACAAGAGAGAAAAGCTGATCATTGATCAGTTTCATGATTGAAGTAGCAACAGGAGAGGGAGGGGGAGAGAATGAGAGAAGAAGAGGCAGCTGTGCAGTAAAGACACAGAATAACTCCATCTTTGTGTCTTTTCCATTCTAGCTGAAGTTCGGGACAAACTGTTTCTTTTCACCTCAATACGAAACGCGTAATATTTTCTCTGAATAAGAGACGATTTCGTTTTTTACGGGACGGTTGGAAACTATTTTATTCATAAGTTTATTTAGAGAACTTTACTATCAGTAACATCATAGCACCCGCCCAGCCCAGAAACTCCGTCATGCTAGCTAGTAGCAGTATGAGTTATTGTAACTGACAGTAAAAAGTCAGCACAACGAAAATAAACTCCACCTAAACTTGGTTTATATCTGACCCAGATACACTGCAGGTCATAACTTCTTACCTGAAGTTCAGTTCACCTGACACTCGGACCGGCGGCCGCCTCGAGTCTCTCCTCCTCCTGCCTCCCCTTTCCCTCATACACCTGCTGGCCTCTGTGGAAGCTCCACCATACCCACCACCAAACAACTGAGTTATTTTTACACATTGACCAGATGCTGGTCAATCCACCACCAGTCCAGCTATGGCATCACCTCATCTCATCAACTGTCTGTGTTAGCTCCTCTCCCATTGGTTGCCCCTCTGAAACAGAATGTGTGAACAGATCATGTAAGGACACACCCCTGTATGACATCACAGGCAGTCTGCAGCCGAGCTGTGGGCTCTCAGAGATTACTGTCCATACACTGACCTCATGATCGTGTTTGAATGAACGCCCGCCTCTGGAACAGAAGTATATGAGAGAGAAATTAGATTTTTACCAAATCTGAATTCTGAATCTGGATCCAGAAGTTGGAACAGATTCCTTCATGTATTACTGTGTTACCTCTGAGAACAGCTTCCTGTTGTAACCAAAACACCATCAGAGCCGAGTCAGAGTAAAGATGCTACGCTGGCTGTGAGGTTCTCTACAACGAGCAGGCGTGTTATAGACAAACTTGTGATTAAAGCAGAAGTCAGTCATTAGTTTTACTCTGATGATCAACTACAAAGTCTGCAGACGCGTTTCCAGGAAGCTAATCAGTACCGATGACCAAAAATATTGAAGTGTAAGGTCATCCATCCACAAACATTTAGATGACCAGAGGCTGTTTATCAGAGATGGACGTAGCCACCTAAAGCATGAAGCTGAACGTTTTCACCAAGTCGGTGTTTTGAAACCGGATAGTTTAACATCGGTCTGGACACCAGTTTACAAAATGAACATCATGTGTTAAATCCCATTTCAGATTAATGTTCAGGCCATCGAGTCGTTGGGGAAGTCTGAAGTCACGACAGTATGAGAGCAGTCGCCCCCTGCTGGACATTATACGGTGCATCTTTTATGCTAGTCTGTGGCAGCGGCTGACGAGATCTGTTAGAAATGTGTGAGTGTGCTTTTTGTAGTTCTGTAGCAGAGCTTGTGCAATTTTTAAAGAGTTTATTTGATTTTAATTTATTTTGTTCAGATTAAACTGACGCCCAGAGTGTCAGAGACTAATGCTGCATGTTTGACTGGCCTCACTAACACGCACACAAACATGTAAATACACACAAATATGACCAAGAAATTAGTGTAACACACACAGGCCTCGGTCTTTGCACTGGCAGTGTGAACTCAAAGCAATACTAAACAGAGCCGTACGAGTAGCTACACATTGCAGAGCAACAGCAGCGGCTAATCTGGGTGTGTGTACTTTCCAGCTGTAACAAATACATCAACGTTCAACTCGATGGGGTGTCGACGCTTCCCTGTTCCTTCTGTTTGTTTCTAAAAAGACTGATGACGATGATGATGTGGTATATTTAACAAGCTCACTTATTTTTATAAATAATGTTGATGAACTGAACTGTGGACACCCGTCTCCTCACATTCGTCCTCTCGACACCACTTTTTTCTTTAACTTTCGTCGTCCTTGCTTTTCATCGTCCACGTGTCCTTCATCCATTTGCATGAGTCTGACTTGAATTGATGTCTATGCAAACTCATCTCTGTGCGGTTCAGCGCTGAACCCTGCGTGGGTTCACGCGGACGCCGTGCTGGTAACGTGCAGCTGAAGTGAAAGGGCTACAGCAGACTACGGCTCTGACTGGCAACGCACCCGCCCTGAAGAGTAACTGACAGACTCTGGTACTCTGAATGATGTCTGGAGCAAGGTTATTATCGTTAACGAAAACTACCGAAATAACGAAAACTAGAAGTGAAAAAACATTTTCGTTAACGGAAATAAAAATAAAAACAAAAAAAGGAAAACTAACTAAAACTGTAATGAGTGTTCACAAAACTAACTAAAATTAACTGAATTTATAGCAAAAATGTGTTTAGTTTCATTGATGTGTGCGTGTCCTACAATAGTCAAGGGTGAAAATGAAGTTTAGTTTCCAGATTTTTTCTTGCCGTGTCTCATTATGCCAGCAGGTGGCAGCACGTTAGTCGAATCGTCTGTGTTGCTGCGTCCACGCGCAGAATCATGTCAGGAAAAGTCGGGAGAAAGCGCCAGAGTCCAATTTGGGATTACTTTGAATATGACTGTGTTTTGGATAAAACAAGTGTCTTGTAGTGGAAAGAGACAAATTATGAGGGACATTTCTAAAGGGGAAAAAATCCCACAAACCTTAAAGTGCACTTGAAAAGCTCACACAAGAAGGCTAACCTAGCTTAGCTTGAGAAGGGAGCACACTCAACCCTCATCCCCAGAAACAGAAGCTAACCCAGGCAAGGCAGCGTGATGCATCCCGAGACAACAGGACGGGGACATCTACATAACTGTGTGAGTCAATTGCCTTCAAAAAGTTTATCACTTGAACCAAAATTACGAACACCCGGTGCTGCAAGAGCTAATAGTCTCATTGGGGCCAAGATATACATTTTATAGTTGCCTGGTATCAGTGGTTGTTCATCTGCCTTTGTTTATTTATTTATTTAAAGAACCCATAGGTGGGAATGTGAGTTGTCTGTCTCTGCGTGTTAGCCCTGCAGCAGACAGGCGACCTGTGCAGGGTGCAGGGTATGGTAGCTGGAATAGCAACATACCCAAGGATGAGCAGAAGAGCATGACTGATATGATGACACTGGGATTTTGTTACACTTAATTATTGCAAACACAACTAAAACTATAACTGAAACTAATCAAAACTAAACTGAAACTAAAGATTTTCAAAAAAATAAAAACTAAACTAGCAAACAAATGATAAAAACTAATTAAAACTGATATAAAATTGAAAATCTGAAGTCAAAACTAAATAAAAATAAAAACTAATGAAAATTGCAAAACTATTAAAACCCTGGTCTGGAGGGGTTCTTTACATTTGGGGCACCAAGTAGAAGTAGACGAGGGATGTGCAGGGAAAAACAGGACATATTCCTCAGTGCACCGTAAACAAGGCGGAATCAAAAAGTTCTGAGAACATGAAACTCGTGAACCGCCCTCGATTTGAATTTGGCTGATCTTTTCTTTAAAGTAAGAATTTTAACCACTTTCATTTAAAAATACACAAACTTTTATTTTTATTTTTAATTGTATCCTCATATTTCCTCATCAACTAAAAAACAGATGGAACCAAAAATTATTCAATTTGCATGAATATGAATCAGCTCTTGGCCCATAACAAAAATATATATATAAAAAAAACTCTCCAGACATCATTTTAAGACACATTAAAAGAGACTGAGCTGAAGAATAATTTGTGCCAGATTAATTTTTCCTTTAACAAAAAACTCATTTTTGGAGTAATAATTAGAAACAAAATGTTTTGGAAGAACATCAGGAGCAGACGTGTTGAGTCCTGGAGTCTTAAACACAAAGACCAGAATCCACAGCAGCTCCTTAGATTAACAAAAAAAGATTTATTTTCAGGAACACCGACGCAGATTTTAGCCGAGCATCCATCCTTTGAGGGAGACTTAATTCCACTTCTGCTCTGAAGTGAACATTAACAACACATTCTTTATCGAAACACATTTTTCACTCTTATTAAAATTCAAAGTCTGTGACGTTTTACCAGAGAGAAAAATCACGTCGTCAGGTCTCCTGGGAAACAAAACAGAGTCAAGTTCTTGCTCTTCGGGGTGAATGTGTTGGACACTCAGACCGTGGAGGCGGACGTTCCTGCGACGTGCTCCGAGACTTTGTCCAGATGAAGCTCGCTTCATAAAAATGCTCTCGTTGGAGGCTGTACGACAAACACACACGGCGACACGCTCGCTCGCCCTGAACCCACGGCTGAACGGTTGTGAATATTGTATTGCACTCGAACATGAAAAATCCATTATGACGACATATTCTTCCATCTTTTTGGTTTTCATTTCTGCTTCCTGTAAAGACAGGATGTTTTGCTCTTTGTATATCAGCCTGATGTGTTTGTGACTGTTTTCTTTCCATTCATGCCATGTTCTAATAAATTAAACCCACACTGAAGATG